GGCTGCCGGTCCCTCCGCGCACCCCCCGCGCCTTTGGCGGACCGCAGGGACGCGAAACCTGCCGCGATGTTTTAGGCACAACCTCACGACGTCTGCGAAAAGCGAACAGTCTCTCCCCTCCTTACCCATTTCTCCCGCCGAGCTAAAGAAAACGCAACAAGAAACCCTCATCAAGCTGCCAAGCTCAGCTTCCTGAAGGAACGCGATTACATCTCGACGTGACAACGCGACCATCAGTTCTTCCCCATCTCCAAAAGACGCTTCTCAAGCAGCCTTCTGCCGTTGCTCTTCCTCCCCCTCCTCCCCGCTTCCCTTCCCATCGCCCAGCGCAGCAGCGGCCGCGGCTTCGCAGCCAAGGAAGGTGCGACCCGGAGAGCGCGGCGCGGTGCTGTGAGTGGCAGGAGTGAAAAGGCAGAGAAGCAGCCCTCGAAAGCCTGCCTTCTGCTGCATCGCATGGCAGCCTTGGCAAAGCCTGAACTGCCAGAATTTTCTTGCAAAATTTAAAAAAAAAATAAAATAAAATAAAAGAAAGGAATGACAGGACCTGTTGGGTTTGGCTGCTGCTTTGCTTTTCTTTGTTCCCTCAAAATGAAAAAGTTCTTTCTCTTAACAGCACAGTCGGTGCAATCTGGGTTGTACCTGCCTGCCAGTATGTGGGGATACAGTTTTTCCATCTCAATTTGGGTCTCCCCAGCACTGGCAAGATGAGAGGAAAGCTAAGCACCTTGTTGCTGATGTGCTTGGAGGACCCTGCAGGAACAAATTACTGGGGTTTTTTGTTTATTTGTTTGGTTTTTTCCCTAAGCAAGCTTGGAAATCTATGTTTCCCTCTGATTTTCCTCATTTTGGGGGGTGGTTTCTACTGCCATGAGTTTGGAGGGGGTCCATTAAAATGAAAGGGGGAACACTAGGAGAGAGGAGGGGGAGAGCACTAGGGCTTTGCCCAGCCCAGAGCCACAAGTGGAGCAGAGGAGAGGACTGTGGTGGGTCTGAGAATCTGCTTGTGGTTGATCATCCCATCTTCATTACTGCATCCTCCTTTCCTAGCCTGTTCTTGTCCAAAGCATGTCTGAGTGGACCTCTGCCCTGCTGCAGCACAGCAGTTTCAGCATTCACACCTCCTACAATGTGGGCAGCAAATAATAAATATGATGGTTACTAATAATAGCCCACCCTCTCCATCCCTCACAGTTTATGCATACAAAAATGCTGCAGAGTCAGTTCTGTATTCCCCCTGGTTCATTAAACCAGCATCCATTTTCCTACAGATAAGACAGCCCATCAGGGGAAGGGATGATGGTAACTCATTTGTCACACTTGCTAAATGTAGGAAAGGCTGCCTTTGGGTCACTTCCAATTTTGTGTCAGCTCTGTGTTTATCTGAGCAGCCCCATGCCTGCATGTCAAGCAGGGTGTCTCTCTCCTGCATGGCACAAGAGAAAGGGGTGGCCACACCATCCCAGCAAGACTTCACAGAGTCAGGGATTCTCTGACTGCAAAAGCACGTGCAACGTGGCTCCAGGGAGTCCCAGCTCATGGAGAGAAACACACTTGTTACTGTAAGAGGTATCAGACACGTTGGTCCCACAGTGACCTAAACCTGTGGCTTTGAGCTCCTGGCACTGCAAGGGGAGGTCACCCTGTGTGAGTTACCCCTAAGCCAGGGGGGTAACTAGACTTGTGTTTGGGCTGAAAAGCTTGAGAGGTACAGTGGGCACCTGGATGGTGAAGGATATCAAGCCAAGATGTTTGCAATGGACACAGTGAGGTCAGTGAAGGTACAAAGGGAAGAAAATGGTGATGCAACCTCACCTGTGAGCTCCTCCTGACCCTCAGAGGACTTTGGGGTGACTAGTCAGGGTCTTGCCTAAACTAGCACAGTCCCAGAGGGCTTTAATTTGCTCCAATTATCAGGTGACAGCTTAGGGTGGCTGCAACGTGAATAATTTTGGCTGCACCTTCTTTGGAGGCACTGCCATTGTGACATGCCACCTCCTTCTTCTGCCATGGACAAGGACTGAATACAGATCCTAGATATGCTGGGATGAAAATGTCAATGACTACAACCCCTAAGATCTTGCTTCAGAGAAAGGAGCAAGAAGTAATCAGGAGAGGTTGGGAAGAGTCTTCAGCTCTGGATAAGTGACCATAGAGCTGTTAATGGCTAAGATACTTCCTAGGGCACCATATACTGCAGTGTTGGCAGAAACTTAATAGATCTCTGATCTGGTCTAGTATGGAAATGCCCTTCAGTGACTGGGGAACAGGTAGGAATGCAGATCCTTCTGTCTATAGCTTTTTCCCATAAATGAAGCCCAGGCTGGAGTTAAGATGCAGAGACCTGGGTAGGAAGGGGTGACATCTCATGAGGCTTTCAGGGAAGTATCCTCATGGTCTGTCCCCATGGCTCACTATGGCACAGTCCTCACTGCACAGCCCAGAGACAGCATGTTGATTTAACCACACACTCCAGAGAGGGTGAAGCATCCCACAATGCATTCTGCATTCCCCATCTCTTGCACTTTTCCTTTCACGGTGGGCACAAAGGTGGATGCTGTTGCATCATTCCTGAGGCAGCTGCAACATATGAGATGAAGGGTCAGAGGAGCTGAAAAGCTGTATTTTAGTCCTGGTCTTGCTATTCATTTGTGGTGTTTCCAAGTCAAGGTGTGTTGATTTGCAGTGCTGCAGGCAGCTGCAGGCAACTGTTGGGCTTTAAGCTCCCACCTTGATCAGTGGCAAACGTGAGGTGTCTCCAAATTCTCTCTTAATAACCCTGGGAAGCGCTGTGGTAGCAGCAGGTTCAGACTGCAGTGGTTTATTCCTGTCTTCAACAGTGGTCCTAGCAGGGGAGAGGGGACCTGCCCACTCAGCTTCATTTGCTTGCTTGCAATTGATCAACCATTCAGAGGAGTTGCTGAGGTCTCAGCTCTTAAATCTGGATCTGAGCCCTCCTTGAGGGCTGTGTGTGGTTCCAGCCCGCAGCAGCATCCCTCACTCCTGCATTAAATCTCTCTCAAGAAGCTGCTGGTGACATTAGCATTTTCTCTTGCCAGCCTGTAGGGACCAGGAGCCCAACCCTCCTAAGGAAGGAACCAACCCAGCAGCATCAGGTATTAGAGGTATCTTTATTGACCATTTACAGAAATACAGTAGCACTCGGTTTAGGGGGCTTAGGCAAGCTCTCCAGAAGGTGCCTTCCTTCTCAGCATTGCCAGGAAATCCTGAGGAGAAACCTGCCATTTAATGCTTTGGGGTTTCTCTGGAGGCTTTGGGGCTCCCTAGCATGAACTTCCCAGCATCCTGAGCTCCCCAGGGATTTGAACCAGTAGATGAAACTCAAAAAAGGAAAATCAAAAGAAATCCCTGTACTTCAAGGGTGATGGGTGGTCTGAACATGTCTGATATGTTGTGAGCCAGCCCTGCTGTGGTCACCATCCATCACAACATGCACCTCCTGCTTGGCAGAACCCAGCTGCTCCCCAGAGCTCAGCTTTCTGCTGTCAGGAGTGCATCACTCTCAGCTTTGCACGCTCATGTCACACAGCTTGTTGGACACAATATAAATATTTCTTAGTCTGTTTTTCTCCCTGTACACATGTAAGAGCAAGACCCTTTCTACAGCAGTGCACAAACTGGGGGCAGGAAGGGTATGCTCAGCTGGACTGGTCAACCCATTCAATTTCTATTTATGTATTTGATTGGCTTTTGTTGTTTTGTTTTGGGTTTGTTTGTTGTTTGTTTGGGGTTTTTTTTGCAATCAAGGTGGAGCGTTGGGTGTTTTTGAGTCCTTGCTACAAGAAACAACTGCAGACACTTCTGGCATAGAGGCATTTTGGCAGCGGCCACTGCTGTTGGCCTCACTCTAGTAGTCAGTGAGGGGGTATCGCAGGAAGATGAAGATAAGGATGATACAGAAGGTGGCAAGGGCTGAGCTGGTGATGTTAAAAAGTCGGGCTGTCTTGGCATCTTCAACTGCTCCATTTAAGTCATTGAGGAGTTTCTTATCCCGGACCTGAGACCAAAAAAAGAAATTAAAAAAAAAGTTGGGAGATATGAAAAAGACATAACTTGTTTCAAGCAACACCCATACTGTGGGGTACTTGTGCAGCAGACAAGGGCTGGGCTGTGCCTCTTTGCATTTGAACACTTGGGGTGCCTTAAAATTCCCCAAGGTCAGGTTTGCACCTCAGCTCTGCTATGAGCTGAGCTTGTGAAACCAAGCATTGTAATATCTGTGGGCTGGAAACCCCTGGGAGTTGAGACCTGGAAGAGTGACCTGTTGCTGTTACCAACCAGGCAAACCAGGTTCCCTGGGGCTCCTGGAGTGGGGCAGTGCCATTTTGAGCCTGAGGAATGCAAAAGGGAACTGAGGTGCTGTCTTGCACCCCATGCAGGTGGGCATTGCAGCCCCCTGGCCCTGGGCTTGGGCTCGCCCAGCCCATGAGTGAGGTGGCTGGCTGTGGTTTTGGTGTGCATCCCTGTGCCTCTGCCTGCACTAAGGGACTGAGTGGGCAAGACCTGGCACAGCATCCTGCTGCAGCTCCAGGGCTGTGCACGAGCCTCCAGCATATTAAGCAGTCCTGGGTTAATGAGTTCCTTCTGCAGGTCTTATGCGGCTTGTGTAGCATCTCTGCCCTTGGCAGTTTTCAGTCCTTGACGGTGTGGTCTGCTCTCTCTGCTTTCCTGCAGGCTGGAACTTCCATGGGCTTGCCTAGGGACAGCTCTGCAGTGGGTAAGGATTGTGCATATCCATAGGCTCACCTCTACCTCCTCCAGGCTGCCAGGCACTGTGAGGCAGCGATGGCACAGCCAGGCAGTGGGTGGCACCAGCAGGCAATGGGTCGCACCAGCAGGCAGTGGGTGGCACAGCCAGGCAATGGGGGGCACAGCCAGGCAGTGAGTGGCACAGCCAGGCAGTGGGTGGCACCAGCAGGCAATGGGTCGCACCAGCAGGCAGTGGGTGGCACAGCCAGGCAATGGGGGGCACAGCCAGGCAGTGAGTGGCACAGCCAGGCAGTGGGTGGCACCAGCAGGCAATGGGTCGCACCAGCAGGCAGTGGGTGGCACAGCCAGGCAATGGGGGGCACAGCCAGGCAGTGAGTGGCACAGCCAGGCAGTGGGTGGCACCAGCAGGCAATGGGTCGCACCAGCAGGCAGTGGGTGGCACAGCCAGGCAATGGGGGGCACAGCCAGGCAGTGAGTGGCACAGCCAGGCAGTGGGTGGCACCAGCAGGCAATGGGTCGCACCAGCAGGCAGTGGGTGGCACAGCCAGGCAATGGGGGGCACAGCCAGGCAGTGAGTGGCACAGCCAGGCAGTGGGTGGCACCAGCAGGCAATGGGTCGCACCAGCAGGCAGTGGGTGGCACAGCCAGGCAATGGGGGGCACAGCCAGGCAGTGAGTGGCACAGCCAGGCAGTGGGTGGCACCAGCAGGCAATGGGTCGCACCAGCAGGCAGTGGGTGGCACAGCCAGGCAATGGGGGGCACAGCCAGGCAGTGAGTGGCACAGCCAGGCAGTGGGTGGCACCAGCAGGCAATGGGTCGCACCAGCAGGCAGTGGGTGGCACAGCCAGGCAATGGGGGGCACAGCCAGGCAGTGAGTGGCACAGCCAGGCAGTGGGTGGCACCAGCAGGCAATGGGTCGCACCAGCAGGCAGTGGGTGGCACAGCCAGGCAATGGGGGGCACAGCCAGGCAGTGAGTGGCACAGCCAGGCAGTGGGTGGCACCAGCAGGCAATGGGTCGCACCAGCAGGCAGTGGGTGGCACAGCCAGGCAATGGGGGGCACAGCCAGGCAGTGAGTGGCACAGCCAGGCAGTGGGTGGCACCAGCAGGCAATGGGTCGCACCAGCAGGCAGTGGGTGGCACAGCCAGGCAATGGGGGGCACAGCCAGGCAGTGAGTGGCACAGCCAGGCAGTGGGTGGCACCAGCAGGCAATGGGTCGCACCAGCAGGCAGTGGGTGGCACAGCCAGGCAATGGGGGGCACAGCCAGGCAGTGAGTGGCACAGCCAGGCAGTGGGTGGCACCAGCAGGCAATGGGTCGCACCAGCAGGCAGTGGGTGGCACAGCCAGGCAATGGGGGGCACAGCCAGGCAGTGAGTGGCACAGCCAGGCAGTGGGTGGCACCAGCAGGCAATGGGTCGCACCAGCAGGCAGTGGGTGGCACAGCCAGGCAGCGATGGCACTACCAGGCAGCAGATGGCACTGCAAGGCTGCAATGCCACTAGCAGGCATGGACAGCACTATGAAGCAGTGAACTGCACAACCAGGCAGTGCCACTAGCAGGCAGTGATGGCCCAGCCAGGCAGTGGGTGGCACTGCCTGCCAGCAGCAGCTCTGCAGGTTGAGCCCAGCAGATGAATAGTCAGGTTCCATCTCTTCCCATCCCCAGACCACCCTGTGAACTGGTACTCAGCAGACCCAGGCAGCTCCACCCCAAAGATGTGGGAAGAAAAGATCAGGAAAAATTGCCACTCTTCCCTTTGCCATATCTGAGTGGGCTGGCATGGTGTGGCAGTGCCTGCTTCACTGCCCTGTGTAGGGCCAGAGGCTTGCAGGCAGCAGCCCCCCATGCCCCAGCAGCCCACCAGGCCCCTGGCAGCCCACCTGCCCTGCCAGCTGGACACTAAAGGTCAGTGTCAGGCTGCAAAAACCAGCCCTGAAGTCCTACCTGGAAATGTTAACAGGCTTTTATCAACCAGGACCTTTCTAAAAAGACTCTGTGATGGATTCAGATTGCCTCTTGGTGACATTTTCTCTCTCCCTCCTGCAGTGCTTTCCCATGGGTCTGTCCTGAAAGCCTTCTGCAACTTGCTGGATATGGGGAAGAATTGTTGAACCCCTCATTCCCACTGAGCCCTGTCTCAGACCTCAAACAATGTCCCTTCCTCCCTCACATCAGTGGGGACCTCTCTGCACAAGCACCCCCTGCTCTTGATTAATCCTGGCCTGTGTGGAGGGTCTGCTGCTGGCACGAGGCCCACAGGAGCTGGTGCTGGCAGGCACTTGGGCAGGCACATAGGCAAGAATGAGAGCTCTGTTTGCCTCCTTGTATTGAATCCTGGGCCGTGCTGTGGGCCTCTGTTGCACCCTGCTTCTGGGAGCCTGCAGCTGAAGCCAGGGCCATCCATCCATCACCTCACTGCTGAGAGCTCAGCAGCTTCAGGGCATCCTTCTGGGAGTGAGGACAGGATGGCCATAAACTGTGCACGGCCCTGTGGCGTGCTTGGCTGGTGCTCCCAGCAGCAGAGATGACCTCTGGGAAGGCAGCAGGCTGGCAGCCTAGGAGCCCACACACATTTTTGTGTCAGTTGCGTGTCCAGGATGACTCACCTTCAAAATTATTCAGTAGGTTCAGCATCCTTCTGAAAACCCCTGGGCAGCCAGCACCTCCCCACTCACCCGTGAGGAGCACGGAGGTCCCTGCAGCCAGAGCTCCGGGGATGCTGGATTTGGGCCAGAAATCCCACCTGCTGCTCCTGGCAGACTCTTTTAAGCTCTCATGCACTTCCCTCTTCTCCGTGGTGGAGGCAAACCCTGCGCAGAGCAAATGCCTTCTACCTGTTCCTGCCCGGGGAGCGCTCGGTGGCTGGGAGAGGCTGCAGGAGCCCCGGGTGCCAGCCCAGCCAGCCAGGCAGGAGTTTCCCCAGCAGACCAGCCTGGCCGGTGCACCGAGCCCTGCAACCTCCCACCGCTGAGCTGTTTGCTTGCTTTTGTGGGCCCAGCGCCTCTGGGCCCCGGGAGCTCTCCCTCGCTCCTCACCTCCTGCTCCTCCTGTCCCCGGGGCGTGCTGCTGCCCTCATTTCTGTGCCCAGCCCTCTCCCAGTGCTCCCAGCAGCCGCTCGGGTCTGACACCAGCTGGCACTCGTGACCGACGCCTCAGCTCCTTCCCACGCTGTGCTTCTGCAGCCTCTGCCCTCAGCCTTGCTGTGGCTGTTTCTCTGGCCCTGCTTCAGTGTGCTGCTCCTCAGCATCTCTGGCAAGAGGTGCCTGGGGCTGCCCTTTCCCCAGAGCCACCATTTTCTCCCAGTTCCTTTTCTGTCCTTCCTATCTCTTCTCTTCCCTGCTGTTTGGACCCAAATGAAGGTACAGACATCCACCTTCAACTCCTGCAAAAGGGTACCCAGCTCCCTCCAGCTGGTCCCACCTGCCTTCTCCTGCCAACCTCTGCAACATGGTGCTCTGCTGCATCCTCCTTATCTGGTAGCCCTTGTCCTTTCACAGCCCTTTCCCTTCTTTAGCCCCCCTCCAGATGTTCTGTCCTTGGTTGCCTGGATCGCCCATTC